GGCTTTAGTTTGTTTAAGGGAAACAGCGACTATTTGCAGTCATCCGATGTGCAAGATTCTTCTATTTTTCTATTCATATGCTCATGAGAAAACCACGTATAATCAGGCCCTAGTCGACCAGTTATTTTATGATGAATCATGTGAATGTATTCCGTGTAAGAGTCTCATTAATAACCTTCGGGTCGGCTCGCAGAATCAAAGTGTTCGGGAGTATTCATAGATGCTTTGACTTTGTGTAAATGGTGTGTTGGTTTAGAAGGAGTAGAAGAGCTTTTAGGAGGATTTTAATGGTGGAATTTATATCCTGGTTTATGTGAAAGAGGGGAACACACGATTTATGTCTGGAGGAGGTCTTTAAATGCAGTTTTAACACAAACAGAGTCTCCAGGTGACCATTTTAACGCATGGACAACCTCCAGTGTAATCATTGACTCTATACTTTGCTCATATCTCCACATGAAATGAACCACAAGCACCATGCAGACACTCAGTGAGCTCAGAAAGTCAAATTCAGGCCTGTGAGTCTGGTTCAAGCCTGCTCCAGTTAGCTGACTGTCAGCCTGTCACCAATTCAAGGGTCCATTTGAAAAAACAGCAATTTAACGAGCATGAAGCTGGGGTTCATATCCAGCTCCAGACTGTGGATTATTAGTGCTGACTGAGTGCAGCCATGAGGTTTGAATGAAAGTGAACACGGCTCAGATAATCCGGTGATAACCAGCTCCAAACTCCCTCAGCCCCCCCCCCGAATATCCCCAAATAACAGCTCTTAGGAATATCAGAAAGAAATTGGAACCGGAGTGTCAGACAGGAATTTGCTTTACCGTTGACACAGCTCCCAGTCGTCCTATCCTTCAAGGCAGGGGAAGCCGCCATCTTTCGTTACATAGTATTCTTGCTTGGTGCTTTTTTGCAATCAACAAACGACACACAACGTGGGATAGATGATAACGAACAAAATCAACAGGAAACAAGTCCTTAAACATGGTCCAGACCTGAGTTTCACAGGGATTCAAGTTATAACAATTTTGAAACCCAAAAAAGCAGCGGTCGATCACGTTGTTCCAACCAGGGGCAGAGTATGGTTGTACAGAGGTAAAACCATCAGAGAAGAACCTGTTGTTGTTGTTGTTTGTTGTTGTTGTTGTTGTGGCAGAAGTGAGAGAGCGGAGTAAAGGAAAACAGAGGTTGTGTATCCTTGCAGACAGAATGTACAGCAGGTGAATTGTGAGGGAGCAGCTCACAGCAGCATGTCTCTGCAGCGTTGTTTATGTGTAACAGGCAGTTAAGCGCTCCCCCGCCTCCCCACGGAGGGGGTGTGCCTGGTGTTACAAACCATCTTGCTCCTCTTCATGTAGCTCTGGTACACATGTGGGTTTATTAGAGTCTCGGATTGAGTGAATGATCTTCTCTCTCGTCTGTTCGGGGTATGTATGGTGACATTGTATTTTAGTGTCCGTTTAAAGCGTTGTTAATGTGTGTTATTATAACCGTGGTGATTTCTGCTTTTTCGGAGATCTCTT